ACGTAATATTACGGTTTTCTTACGCTTCGTAAATTATTGCGCAATATTACGCCCTATTAAATTTGCTGATGTAGTACATGTTCTACACATGTTTTAACTACTTAGACTTACTTAGTAATTACACCACAGCTTCACCCATATACTTGGGGTCAGGGCTAACCATTGAACCCTACAATTACCTGCCCTTGTTCAGTTCACACAACTCCAATACCCACATTTAGGCCTTTTTCTTCTCCAGATTCTTTATCGGTCTCTCCTTTGCTTCCAGCCAGCAACTCGAAAGGGTCGGTCTGCCTGGCTTTAAGTGCCTCATAGTTGCCCTCCCCTTGGTACATACTTTCAGAGCATATGTCCTTTCCTCTGGCATGTCTACCGGCAGTTTTGCTAGTGTGTCCAGATTGGTCGCTCAGTTCTCCAATCTCAGTTCTTGGTTCCAAATTTAGTCTTCCTGTAGTACCGTCAAAGATCATGCTACCTCCCAACTCGGGACTTCCCAAATGGGTTTTTAGTTAATCTGGTTCCCTGGATTTATTGCGCCAAAGCTCCCATAACTAGATAGTGTGACCAAGGTTGCAAATTTGATTCTAGATCCAACCAATAATCATAACTGTCAACTAGAACATAGACCTAATTTAATTCAAATATCGTCGTCCATGAGATTTGAACTCTAAACCTGTCGCTTGGAGAGGGTGACAACTAGACCACTACACTAAGTCGCCACACCCCTTTTTAATCACAATTATATTTTAATTAATTGTGATTGTTGCAATTCAGTTGAAATTTATTAAAAACTATAAATAAAATAAATTTTATTTAATTTTTAAACTTGTCTTTAAAATATATAAAAAGAGGTGTGGCAACTTAGTGTAGTGGTTTAGTCATCACCCTCTTCAAGTGGCAGGTCTAGAGTTCAAATCCCACTAGCACTTATAATATGAACAGATCAAAACATGAACTCTATGTTTTAATGGCAACTATTAATTATACAAGATTTCCAGTTTCTTATCTTTACGTTGCTGCTGATAAAAATCGAGATATGAGATCAGTTTTAACAAAATGGTTTTTATGCCTACGAAATCATGGAATTGACAATGTTAAAATATTTTTATTAGATAAGGATTTTGCACAGATTTCAAGTGCTCAATCTGTATGGAAAAACGTAAATATACAACTTTGCAAGTGGCATGTAAATCGTGCAATTAAACAAAAACTTTCATCATCCAAAGTATTATCTAATATTTCTTATAATGCTATTGAAGCCAATCGACAGTGTTCTTTTATAGATCCAACATGGATAAGTACAAGAAATCTACAATTAACAAATCAAAAAACAAATTCAAAAGTTTTTTGTATTCAATTTTATCGAAATATAATTCTTAAACTTGTAGAAAAGCACTTACGCCAGCATATGTTATTACCAACTAATAACAAAGAATTTATTAATGATCCACAGCAAATACGAAAGTTTGCAATTAAAGAAATGTTTGAATTTTGTCATACAAATGACTTGTTTGAAGTATGGTGTTATTTGTGGAATGAGTGGTACCGTGATAGTCATTGAAATTTATGGACTATATTCTCAAGTCCTGAAATATCCCCATTATTAACAACTATGATTGTTGAATCTCATTGGAGAATTTTAAAGTGTGACTATCTATATAAATTCAATAGACCATGACTAGATCTAGTCTGCTTTATTCTTATTAACCAAATGATTCCAGGGCAAATTCAACATTATAATTTTCTTATTAATGGGTGAAAATTATCACCATGGTGTAAAGATATTAAGTCAGAATGGAAAAATGCAGCATCAAAACAAGTTTTAAACAAGGACAAATATTTGATTGATTATAATCGCTGGATTTGTTCTTGCCCTTCATTTTTAAAAAGTAGATTTTACATATGTAAACATCTAGTCGCACCTATTGGAATGATAGATAGTGATTTTTTCTATAAAGTATTTATGGTATTTATTTTTATTATAATTTAAATTTAATATATGGGCTGCCGTCAATAGAAATCAAGCAGATCTACATTTGAAAAAAATTCAATGCCTTAAGTTTCACGGCTCATATCTCGATGAATTTTAAAGCTATGTTGATGCTTTAATATTCAAAAGAAATA